CACACACACTTTTAAAATGGTTCTGACGCCCATGTACTGTACATGGCCTTATCAATGGATCTTGAAACTTCACAGTGATTCCTTGTAAAAGTCAGTAAGTTGTGTTTGGTGAAACCAGTGTCCTTCCATTAACTCCATGGTCTGAGAAAAAAGGCCAACTTTAAACAGAACAGAGTGAAGTTTCAACTTCTGAAGCTGGGGACCGTGTTTGTGCCGGTTCTTACCCACAGGTGGACAAAGTCTGGACTGGTTGGAGACAGAAAAACAAGATGTTAGAAAGTCTGGATCTGGATCTGGACTCTGTGGGGTGGTCTGAATCCTGACCCGACTACAAGCACACCTAGCTGACAGCCAGTGGAAAAACAAAAGAAGAAATGGAGAGGAGCAGCGAGCTGTCGGCCATCTTTGTCTCATGTGGTTAGGTTAGGTTAGGTTACTATTTCCAGTTTATCCAGTTAATCTGCTGCAGTTAGTCAGTCAGTCAGTCAAAGTCAGTCAGTGTGTACTTCAGGTTTTTTAAAGAAAGAAAACTTGTGTCTCCTGATTAAAACCTACAGTGGAGCCAGGTGCGGTTCTAGGGGCGAGGCCATGGGGGCATTGGCCCCAGTTTTAGCTGATTGGCCTGCTGAAGTGCCCCTGTCCTGTCACTCATCTGTCTTTTACCAGATGGCAATGATGGTGGATCTGGGTGCAGTTCCATGTCCAAACACTAGAGGCGCTAATGAGTCAAAAGTCCAKCTTAGAGAAGTTTTGACCAATCCTGCAGAAAAAGTCTTTCAGCTGACAAATGATGGCTGGATTTTCTCAAATGCTGTGTGTTTGAAAGTATTTGATCTACGTACGGTAAAAACRTATGTAAAATTGGTAAGGATAATTTTTTGTGCAAGKTTTTTTTTTATTACATTGCATTATAGGTGTTTGTGTGACTGGTTAAATTTATACACCTTACCAAAACTGGCCCCTTACTCAGAAAAATCCTAGATCCACCACAGAGTGGAGCATTATCCATCTGTGCAGAAAACATGTTTTTTTTTAGATCCTTGCATTTTATGGTTTCTGCAACACTTTCATTTAATGCAAATATCTGTTTTTTTTTCTTTAAAAGTTTTTTTCCCACTTTTGAATTTTCTGAGCTTGTTTTGCTCCAAAGCCACACATCATGGCAGCTGCAGGGTTTTACTGTTTCACTTCTTAAAGACAGTTCAAAATGTTTTCTCAACATTCCTACCTTCATTTCTTGTTTTAGTAACTCTTCTTAAACACACTGGATTTTAAAATTCACAGGTTGATATCTGCAGATAAATCACAGAAAAGACCAAACTGAATCTTTAAGAAAATTTGTTTTCACAGGTGTTTAAAAACAACAACTAGAGGAAGGAAATGCCCTTTATGACTGCTTTTACCTGTGAAATTMTAAAAATAATTCAGCTCAACGACAGGACGTGGAGTTTAAAAGAGGAGCAGTTTTCTCCTCACACCAGAAGCTACCTTCAGCAAACACAATTTTGTTGTTCAACCATCCACCATATTTATTTTTCTACTGTTTTATTATTCCAGCTTTGTGCTTATGACTGATTGAAAAATTATTTTAGACTAAAATGCTGTAATGAAAGAAACTACTGCTTAAAGGGTGTTTATTTCAGATAAAAACAACTGAAATAGATGTGAATGTGGTTGTTTTTAACTAAATGCAGAATGGCATTCTAAGGTTATTGTCCTATAAAAGTTAGAAACCCATAAATAAAAACTGGTTTATATAAAAAAGTTTTTACTAACTTAAATAAAACAAACTAAAAACAGAATTCATAAGAATGCTCTGCAGTTATTTTAGTAACATTTGTGCTGTAGTTTTTAACTACATTAAACATGCTGCAAAAATCAAATTTGKTACATTTATGGTCAAAAGATTAAAACTGTTTAACTGCAAAATCATCAGTTTCTTTGATGCTTTTATTTATTTTTAGGAATCCTGTATTTTTAAGCAATAAAATAATAAACTAGATAATAAAATAATATGCTAGAGAAATTGGCATTTCCTATAAAAATGTGTGAATGCTTCATGCTTAAAACTTAAGTTGAAAGCTGCTGAAACTGAGCTGAAAATATTTAAAGTTGGTGTTTTTATGTTCTCCTTCTGATAATCGGACATTTACCTCTATAATGCATGCATGGGTGGGGGTGGGGGGGGCAACACTGAACTGAACTTTATCTGAAACTTCTATTATCCTTGTTTTGTTTTCTATTTACCCGTTGAGCACCAGTAGTTACCATAGTCTTGACTGCATCACATGATCCTTTTATGACAAAATTAACACCTCATGTGGTAACAAAGCATCTGAGAAACTCACAGAACCAGTTACCTTCATAAACTTGAGCAATTAGTGTCTGAGGAAATTGTGATCAAGAAAATGAAAGTCTGAATAAAATAGCAGAAAACCAGTGGTTTTTCTTCCAGAAAGGTTTTATTCTCATCTTTTCTCCAACCAGCTCCCAGCAGCTACTCAGCCAGCAGGCCTCAGAGTGGAAGGCCTTGGTCTTATCAGGAAAGCAAAACAATCCTTCTCGACAGC